GCAGCATCGTTGTGTGAGGGACATAGGGGGTCGTACTTTTCCCTTTTCCGCACATATCAGGGTCGTGCTTTTCCGCTGGGGGGTCGTATTTGGTCGTCGGGAGAGAGGGGGGCTTATGTGCGTTTGAGAGAAATTTGCTGCGTTGGGAAAAAATTTCTCCCGGTTGTTGACTTTTCGCACGATTTGCCTGTTTTGCCTTTTTCATGTGTACTATATACTCTCCCCCTCTCAAAGGAAAATCAAAATTGTTGGATAAAAAACTGGACTGGAAAATGTGGAAAGTTGGAGTAGATAGGTGTTAGGAAGGGGGGGGGGGTCGATGGGTAGTGGGGTGCTGATGACACCCTCTCTCGGAGGAAGGGGGTCGTACCTACACTACCTCACGATGCTGTACCCTGCGTGCGTGCGTACACATTCACGTGGTCATTCTTCTATTGGGTTGATTTCGCAGCGAAAGATAAAGACGTTTTAGGAAGATATCGCAGTATAGCACGAGCTAGGTCAAAGGCGTAGACACGTTAATTTAGTACTTACTCTAAAATAGTGGCACGAGTGCGATACAGTTGGAAATTGACGAGAAAGCGAATTTGAACGGCCAGAGATTAGCGTAAAAAACCTTTGTTCAACACAGCATTTTTGGACGAGTTACCCGTTAGCACCGCGCCAACTGGCGCTTATAAATACTGCTTCACATGTGCATTCGCACACTCATGAAGAGACGCTTTCTATACACTGCCTTATAGATGAAGCGACAGGAGTAGAAGTAACAACGTCGATGTGACCGTGCGGTCAGTCGTTAGTGGACGGTTGCGTGAGGGGCCCGGGTCGGCATGTTGCAGCTTGACAGGGCGCTACAAGGGTACCTTCGTTGGAAGAAGCGCCTTGCAGCGCCTGCTCAGGGATGTCGAATCCTGTACTGCTGGACGTATCTATCAGACATGCCTCATGGATTTATCGTGCAACCTGCCTTTAAATCTGGCGTTGTCATCGGCAGTGGTGATCTTCTTCGAGTGAGCTGTAAGTAGTCATCCACTTGTCGACGTGATCGTCAGTCAACTGCGATACCCTCCTGCAGTGACAAGTTGTCTTTCTTGGGGAGAGGTGCTAAAAGGCCACATCCCAAACTTACTGTCATGATGGTTTAGGTCGACTGTTCATGACATGATTTGAAAGATTTCCTCATCAGCGTTCATTCAAAACGACGCTTGTAATCTTTAGACTCATGTACTGTTCCGAAGTTCAGCCTGGGTCACTGTCCGTCCTAGCTATTATGAATGACATCGTAGGCGGAGAAGATTGAAGGCATCAATTCGGTAGTGGAACTCTACTTCTTTAAGGAG